GATGATTGTTACTGGATCTCTAGGGAGAACAGTTTAAAACTGATAGGGCTATCCAGTATAAACAAAGTTAGTTTAGTTTAGGTTTCCTCCTGTAGTAACACTGGATAGAGCTATCCAGTATAATTTAAAGGTTACTTTGTATATAATACTGCATCAACAAGCGATACCCCTCACTGGACCTCTAGGGAGAATAGTTTAGACCTGATAGAGGCTAATGATGAAGCTAATGTACCGAATATTTTTAATATTTTTATTAGTCAATCCAAGATGAAGCAATAAAGTACAAAGCGAACATCGACATGCTGATGGGAATGGGCAAAGTGATAATCACCATCACGGCCAAGCCTGGAGAAGAGCTTATGAAACAGCCTGATCTACCAATCACACGTGACTTGCAGGCATTAAACGATCGTTACGATAATATATGGCGTGATATCGAGAAAAGAGGGATAGACCTGGAAACTACACTAAATAATGCAGATAAATACTTCACAGCATTGAATGAAGCGACGACATTTTTGGATGAATGCGAGAAAACATTAGCACACCAGCCAGCCATTGCTAATGATCTTCCATCCATCCAGAAACAACTTGTTTCTACAGAGGTCAGTGTGCTAATATACTTTAACTAAAACATAAGTAGCAAAATGTACGGTCGATATCTTTTTCAGATAGTTCAGATAAAAACACTGCAGCTTATTGTAGAATACTACCTACACTGGACGTTTGAGAGATCTTTTTTCATGTAGTTCAGACACAAACAACGGCAGCTTATTGCAGAATACTACCTACACTGGACCACCACGTTTGAGATATCTTTTTCAAGTAGTTCAGACAAAAAACATTGCAACTTATTGTAGAATACTACCTACATTGGACCACCACGTTTGAGATATCTTGTTCTGGTAGTTCAGACAAAAAAACATTGCAACTTATTGTAGAATACTACCTACACTGGACCACCACGTTTTTGAGATATCTTTCTCAAGTAGTTCAGACAAAAAAACACTGCAACTTGTTGTAGAATACTACCTACATTGGACCACCACGTTTGAGAAATCACGTAAAATTTGCAACGGCTTTTGTTGTTATTTCAGAATCTGCTTTCGAAATTGGAGAACTTCACGCCAGTCAAAGATGCATGCAGCAGTGGAGAAGAATTGATTCGTGATCGCGAAGAAGCACCAGGCTGCAAAGATGTGAAGAAACAGATTTCGTTGTTGAAAGAGAGACAGGACTCCGTCTTAGAGAGAGCTCGTGCTCGTCGAGACAGATTGCTTGGTGCCGCTGATAGACCGATCTCTGAGTTCAGAAATGAGGTGCGAGATATCAGTGCTTGGATCCAGGAATCGTGGAATGTGATGTCTGCAATATTGCGTGGTGAAGGAACCGTTGTCGGAAACCAAAGAAAAATTGAGGTATTTTACCGTTTGACAATGAAAGCCATTAAACACTTAGGACTGGGTACACGTATTATATACACCAGCGTTTAGTTTTTTACACTTCAGTTGGTTGCATTGAAAATATCATTAGCTATTGCTTTGTACGGCCACTTGTTACCATTTACTTTGCACTAAAGTGATTAAAACAAAATATTGTATGTTATAGCACAAATGTTTAGCTTTTCATAGTTAAACAAAGGTAAACCTTGGTTGCATTGACAATATTTTTATGTTGTAGCAAATTGACATCGAAAACGAGAGGATGAAGCCTATGATGAAAGAAATCAGAAAGAATGGAGAAAACCTGATCAAGTATATGAACAGCAGGAACCAGAATCCCCAACCTGTAGTCACCATGATGACGAAACTAACTAAAGCTTGGGATGAATTTCAAGAGAAGTTGCTGTTGACTAAAGAGACTGTGAACGAAGGCAAAACTCTACCTCAAGTAAGGCTCTTGTGCTTATGTACTATTGACAAAATGAGCTGTTGTATTGGATATACAAACTCGAACCGCAGACTACCAAATATGAAGAGTATTTTCTAACTCCGGTAACGACATGCTGCATGATGAGCATCTGCTGAGCAACAGTTTTTAAACTTTTTAGAAGCCGATTTACATCACACAACTTTGGCCTAAACTTAGTGTCGCATACAACCTACTTACAACTTGATTTGCACTGTGTAAATCAAGCACACAACTCGTCTACGTTGTTAAACCCACCATAGTACAATGTTGTACTGTATTCTGTTTCTTAATTATACTATGTTGTGTTTCCTTGTGCTCTACTGGTGACTGGCAGCTGACAAGCGGCTGACTACTGTCTGCTGTGATATGTTATGAATTATTGTTGTGTTTTTGTTCAGTATTGTTCTTAAGACATAATTACTGACTTGTACGCAGCCAAATCATAGAGCGAAATTCCTGAATATAAGTCATTTATATTATCTTTGATTAGGAACCAGAATTCTTAGAAAAAGCTGTGGCCATCGAAGCTTTCTCTGAGTTCCCCGAAGAGGACATTGACACGGAACCTATGGACACCAGTGAACATGTCGAAGAATACACGGACGAGCAAGGACGAAAGGTGAAACGTATCACAAAAAAGACGTATTCCTCAGTTGCTCCTGAAAATGGCGCAGAGCCCGAAGAACATGTCGAGGAATTTATTGACGAACAGGGACGTAAAGTGCGTCGAGTTACGAAACGTGTTGTCCGACGTATACAGGTACGAGAATATGACATATTTTCTGCTCTATATTTGATACAGACTGTGTATTAAATTATATTTCATGAACTCCGGTCGAAATATATGAGACTACAAGTGGTATGACTTCGTCTTTACCGTGCTTCGGACCACAATTTAACACTAGGGTACCCCCTATAAAAAGAAAAGTCAAATCTAGTGCCCTCTATGGTTGTCATAGGAACGCTCTTCCCATGATGCTCCAGTGACTTTTTTACCTTGTGCTTCGGACATGAGCAGGTAAGTGAATTTTCGCTGTACAATTGAATCTTTTTTACCTTCTCTTTTATAGCTATATAATGATTTTTTAGCTTAAACAGTGCATTATACTACGAGCTTGAATATGTCCAGCCATCGCTCTCGTAAGCGTTCCCACTCGCGAGAAAAATCGCATCATGCATCGACGAACAAGTCGTCCAAACGGCCCAAGAGCAAGGCCAACGACGATCTGGACGAAAACGATCATATTCTTCGTCAAATTCTACAATCCGTTACGGATTTGAAGGCAGACATGTCCGTCTGCAACTCCAGGATTACTGCTCTTGAAGCTCACTCAAGTGAAACGGCCTCTCAAGGCTCCCATTTCCGTGTCGACGCCGAACACGAGGATGACGCACTGTCAGTTTCGGCGGGAAATGACATCGACTGCTTCGATGCTTCTCAATTGGAAAATATGGCTACTAAGCCACCAAATTTGGCCATTAGGCCACCAGATTTGACTATTAAGTCACCAGAAATGACTCAGGAGTCACCAGATATGGATATACTTACGAAAGAAACTGACCCCCAACTTGTGGGTCCCACTAACGAGCATCTTAACTCACATTTGTACGACCCTGATGACCTAGCCATCGCATGGTCACCTTCGGAAACATTTACCTCATTTCTTGAGAAGAATTTTCGCCGAAAACTAACTTATGACCAGGTTTGTGAAATTTTAGAAACTCAATCAGTTCCCTCAGTCGAGGCCCTTGTGGCCCCAACACTTGATCCGTCAGTGGTGCAGCACATTGCCCAAAACAATAAAAAATTTGTCCAAGAACGAGACAAAGAGTTGCAATTGGTCCAACGGGCCTTACTTAATGCCACAGGGCCACTGTGCACGTTACATGATCAGCTGGAAAACAATGCACCAGTGGATCTTGTAAATTTGAAAACAACTGTCGAACAAACACTTTGCCTGTTGGGTTCAGCCAACACACAGTTGTCCATCCTTCGCCGCAAGAAGGTCCTTGCTTCTATTAACAAGGGAAAGCTTGATTTAGCCAACCAACCCTTGCCCAATGCCAAGAAGTGGTTATTTGGGGATGATTTTCCATCCATTGCCTCAAAAGAGGCAGAACTTTCTCGGGGTCTAGCAAAAAATCTAGCACCTGCTTTCACTAGGCCAAAACCGCAAGGCCCCAGATTTCCCAGCTCTAACCAGTCAGGTTACAACCAATCAAAATACCAGAATTTTCAGTTTCCTCGCCACAAGCAGAAATTTTTTCGAAACCCCCGGTTGCCCTACCGACCACAGCACAACTCCCAAGGCACATCAAACAGTGGCAGGAACTGACTTCGGATCCCGAAGTCCTAAACATTGTGTCAGGCTTAAAAATTCCCTTTCGTTGTGTTCCGTTTCAAAAAACTCCTCAAATTACACAGGTGTTACAGGAGTCAACTCCAATTTTAAAGGCAGAAATTCAAAGCCTTCTGGACAAGAGAGCCGTTCGTCAAGTGGCACTAACAAAAGATGGCTTTTACAGCCGTCTCTTTTTAGTCCCCAAAAAGGGCGGCACCATGCGCCCTGTGATAGACCTCAGCTCTCTCAATCAGTTTATAGAAAACTCCCATTTCCAAATGGAACACCTTTCAGCAATAAAGACTCTATTAAAACCTGGTCACTTCATGACCAAGCTAGACCTAAAAGATGCTTACCTGTCAGTAGCAGTCCACCCAGAATCTCAAAAGTTCCTACGCTTTATTTGGGAAAACAAAGCTTACCAGTTTCAAGCTCTCCCCTTCGGTTTGAATATCGCCCCTCGCATATTCACACGGTTGTTAAAACCAGTGGCAGCTTTTCTGAGGAAAAGAGGAGTTCGCCTAATAATTTACTTAGACGACATTCTCTTGATTGGATCCTCAGTGGAAGAGACACAGAGATTCACCGAGATGACGATGTCTCTTCTAGAATCCTTAGGGTTCATCATCAACAAAGAGAAATCGAACCTCAACCCAACCCAGTTATTAACCTTCTTGGGTTTCACCGTCAACTCGGCCAACATGACTATAACCTTGCCTCGCGACAAAGTGAACAATGTGCGCTCACAGTGTCATCAGATGCTGGCCAAACCCACAGTGACTCTGCGATCAATGGCTCAAATCTTGGGCATGCTCGAGTCATATCGGCCAGCCATATGGTTAGCTCCTCTCCACATTCGCATGTTACAAGTACAACTGACTCAAGGTCTACACAGATCCCTAGGCAATTACGAGACAGAGGTAATCCTCTCTCTGCAATCAAGACAGGAATTGCAATGGTGGACTCGCAACATCGAGGGGTGCAATGGCAGCCCGATTGTGACACCCCCTCCAGAGTTAACAATCTTTACAGACGCATCCAAGCAGGGTTGGGGGGCAGTTTGCAACCATCAGAAAACGAATGGGAAATGGTCTGCTTCAGAGAAACTTCTTCATATCAATATTCTGGAATTGAAAGGTGCCTTTCTGGCATTACAAGCCCTCTTGGGAAACAAATCCTCAATAACGGTGTCTCTCAATATGGACAATTCCACGGCTGTGGCCTACATCAACCACAAAGGTGGGACACATTCTCCTCACCTAGTCCAACTTGCCCTAGATCTTTGGAACTGGTGCATCCAGAGAGACATATTTGTAGTGGCACACCATGTTCCAGGCAAGTTGAACAGTCTTGCAGATCAGGAATCTCGTCGGTTTGTGGACAACACAGATTGGATGCTGGATCCCAGCCTTATAAAACCCTTTCTAAAGCATTGTCAAACAGATCTTTTTGCCACGAGACTAACTCACCAGCTTCCAACCTACATCAGCTGGAGGCCAGATCCCAAAGCCCTCCACTCGGATGCTTTCAGCCTGAATTGGAACGGACTAAAGGGGTATGCTTTTCCACCGTTCAATCTGATACCGAGGCTGCTCAACAAATTAATGACCGACCAAACAGAAATTGTACTGATAGCACCAATTTGGCAAGCCCAACCGTGGTGGCCTGTACTCCTTCAATTGCTAGTCCAGCAACCAGTTCTCCTGCCAGTCTCACCACATCTTCTAATAGATCCCTCGGATCCACAGGCAGTTCACCCAATGTACCCACGCCTCCACCTGGGCGTATTCCATATCTCCTACAGCGATACAAAGCAGAAGGTCTTCCAACAGGTGTTGCCAACTTACTTATCGCAGCCACTAGATCCTCCACACATAAAACCTATGAAACGAGCTGGAAGCGCTGGTGCGGCTGGTGTCATTCACGGGAAACTGATCCTGTTTCGGCATCCTTAAAGGACTTGAATCATTATCGGCTGGCACCAGAAGGTCTCACGTTTACATTATTTAAAACTAAAACTACCCGACCGGATGAAACAGTCTCAGCCGTTGTTCCCTCATTCACAGACGATACAAAGCTATGTCCTGTTGCCTGTTTTAGGCAGTACATAACGTCTACAGCTGCATTCCGAACAACACCGGAGAGTGAACCTAAAAGCTTATTTATCTCGTACATCAAACCTCATCGTCCAGTTTCTCCATCAACCATAGCTAGATGGATTCGTGAGATGCTGGTTGAAGCTGGTATCGACACCTCCATTTTTAAAGCACACTCAGTGCGAGGTGCTTCAACCTCTGCAGCAGCAAATGCCTCGGTGCCTATTGAAGAAATATTGAAGATGGCTGATTGGTCCACTGCATCAACTTTCCAGAAATTCTACTATAGACCAGTGGTGAACACCGACTTTGGTCGTGCAGTGCTTGCACATAAACATAAATAGTTTATTTGGTTCATGTTAACATTTGTTCTTTGTCAAGCATGACAATAAAGTTTTACGGTTGTTTATGGCATTCTTGTGTTAAAATCTACCACTTGTAGTCTCATATATTTCGACCGGAGTTCATGAAATATAATTCCAATTATACAAGGGCTGATGAGCCTGAGAGTATAATTGGGGTTATATGAGTGAACGAAGGGAGAAATATATGACTCCCACCCAACTCTAATCCCAAGGGATTTGCCCTCCCTAATTTACAGGTTATGTTGGTGTTAAAAAAAGTCACTGGAGCATCATGGGAAGAGCGTTCCTATGACAACCATAGAGGGCACTAGATTTGACTTTTCTTTTTACAGGGGGTACCCTAGTGTTAAATTGTGGTCCGAAGCACGGTAAAGACGAAGTCATACCACTTGTAGTCTCATATATTTCTCCCTTCGTTCACTCATATAACCCCAATTATACTCTCAGGCTCATCAGCCCTTGTATAATTGGAGTTTTTAGGTGTAATTTTAGATCGTGAATTAACATGGAAAAACCATATAAACTCAGTTGTTAAACATATAATTAAATCTACGGCAATTATAGCAAAAGTACGACATTACACAAATAAAAATACACTTAAGTTGAGAGCCTGTTCGCAGGCTACACTTAAGTTAATTTATTATGCATTGGTTTATCATGCATATCTTACTTATATGGGAATCTATAGTATGGGGTAATACGTATACCCAACAAGGCTACAGAAAATACTGAATATATATAGAAAAAATCATCAGATTGATAAGTTTTAAATCTTATCTTGAACACACTGAACCATTCTTTGAGACTTCAAAGATCTTGAATATCTATCAGACCGGTTTAAACGTCCACAAAATTTACCTGAATTTTTAATGGCTACTTCACACAGAACAATGAAGTACATCATTACAATACTCGGAATGCTAACAAATTACATGTAAATTTTAGTAGAACAAATTATGCAAAACATACTATTGCCTATTGTTAACAAGGGAGTTAAGATATGGAATTCACTAGATAAAGAAATTAGCAATATTATGTTTTATTGGACTTTTAAGAAAAAGTCAAAAATATTTTTCTTGATGCTTGTGCATGTTACTGTGAGTGTATATCCACAGCGGGCAAGCTTGAAAAATATGCCTGTCCACGGTGGGAATCGAACCTACGACCTAGTGGAAAACTAGCCGAAAGGTCGTAAGTTCGATTCCCACCGTGGACAGGCATATTTTTCAAGCTTACCCGGTGTGGGTATACACTCAGAGTAACATCACAAGCATCATATTCACCTGAGTACATTGCACCAACACAGGAAACATCAATATTTTTCTTGTAAAATATACTTAATTGTTATTACCTGTAAACTTTGTTCAATTAGCTCATTATTACTTTTAGTTTAAAATTTTCCTTACTTTATACTTGTATTTGTAAATATTCCTATATTCTTTCGACATTACATGATTAACTTACGGTATAAAACAATTGTAAAAATATTATAGAACTAGGGGCCTTTGAACAAAAAGCCTGAAAGGGTTTCATGAAGGCTCCTAGTCCGTCATATTGTTATACTTTGAACTTGAAGATTGTAAATATTAACTTTTCCATAAGCAAATAAAATGAAAATAAAAATGAAGAAAATAAAAATGAAGAAAACAGCGTCAACATTGTAATAACTATAGTTGTGGTTCATATCAGCAGCTGATCCTACTGAGAACGAATCTTCCGTCTAGTGTGGAAAAACAATGTTCGAAGACTACGCGTTCCTTGTTGCTGTCTCTACAAGTTATATTTGCCTATTTCTTGTCCTCACTTTCTATAATTTTGATGTGATATTAAGGACAGGAGTTATTTTGGTGGCAGCCATTGGCTTTTTCTTTCCAATACTCTATGGGCTTCCCTACATCATTATTGTATGGAGAGTGCTTGTGGGAATGAATGTCGCCACTGATCAGAAGCTTTACATAGCAAGGTGCATTGAGCAAATAGACATGGACAAGGCAGATTTTTCTGGTTCCACTACTCTCAACCATTGGGCAGTTGTGATACACGATGGTGGTCGATACTTCTGCACTCAGGCTGTTGGAAATGTTATATCTGGTAAAGGAAAACCGATTCCGTTTAGAGAAATGAAAAAGGCTCAACTAGACAAATACCGTCTCAATCCTGTCGGTTTTGTCACTCAAAAGCAGAGAGAAACGAAAACCAGAGATCTTGTGGATGCCGAGCCGATGGTGTCTGGTAATAGTTGTCAGGAGTATGCAGTTGATATTGCCTTTCAACTCTCCAGTTCTCGCACATATACATTTGTTAAGATCATGGCATTACCTCGAATGCGAAACACCGTCTTCTACAGTGCAGTGATACTATCAATTGTGTTTACAATGCTTGACCACCCTTTTGCTCAGCTGTTAAACCCGCTGTTCTTAACCAACCTGTTTGCTGCTTGGGAGCTGTCTCGTATTGGCATCCATAACCAAATACAGGAAGTTCATCTCCACTATATAGTCTCAGTTATTCGGGCATACATTATATATCCAACAAGGGGGAACTTTTTTATGCTCTTGTTAATTTGTGTGTCCTTAGCCTACCTTTATCAACGACTGGGCTTTGAAGGGTGCATTGTAATAGCCAGTTTATTGTTTGCGCTTGTCCTGGTGCTATTGAGGTGAACACTGTTCTATGAAACTTTCAAAAAATAGACATGTACGACATATATAGCATCTTTGCTACTGATCATATTGCATATGTAGAATAAAAGTAATGCCTACATGTTCATGTACATGTGTAAAATACATACAGTTGACTGAAAATCTTAAAATTACCACAGTTCAATAACTTAGAAGGGGGATCAATAAAGTATCTCGCAGACTCGAAGCACTGTCTTAAGGTGGCTCGACATAGTTATCACAAAAACCCTGCTCAAGAATCGCGAACTCAAAACCGGGTGACCATTTTTACGCGCAGGTCGCGAAAACTGATTAACAAAATGAAAATTGCTGACGTCATTAGAATTTTCCATTTTAGAAAAACAATGCGCTATATCTCTCTATTTTGTCTGGTAATCTATATTCAAATTTTGCATGCTGTATTGCACTGCTAAAAACGTTCATTATAAAAATTTTCATTTTGCCAAAAACATTTTATCGAAGAGTACAACGTTTTCGCATTTTCCAAAAAAATGGCATTACACAATTTTTTTTATACTTAGTTTTTTATAATAGTTTTGTTTGTGGAAACACCACGTAAATTTATTACTGCAAAGCTTTCGATCCGTAAGCCCGGATCTTCATCAGTGCACTGATGAAGATCCGGGCTTTAATACGGATCGAAAGCTTTGCAGTAATAAATTTACGTGGTGTTTCCACAAACAAAACTATTATATGTTTTATCGCCATGCAAACATACAAAGAACTTATGTTAGTTTTTTGTCCAAGTAAAATAATGCACAAAAAAAATTGGGGGTCACCAGGCTTCTTTTCCAACTATACGAGGCGATAGGCCATTTTGGAGTGAATTTCGTACACGTATGTCGTCATAGCAACGACCTATCTGTTACTAAAACTAATATTATTTGAAAGTAGAGACATCAAAACTGTCTGATTACAATATTGTAACATTCAATACAATAATAATAATTTTAATAATAATAATAATCATAATAATTATATTAATATTTGATTATAATATTAATACAATTAAATTATTCAATGATTAACTATAGCATTATTTTCTTGCAATAAAGTTTGCATGATATACGAGGGTGGGAAGGGGGGGGAGGGGTATGGATCATGTTTCACAACGAAAAAAAAAGCCGTTTCATGATTCACATGTCTTAAGGTGGCTCCCTAGGGTTTTATTCCCGGGGGTACGTTCTTCGTATATATGTAAACAAAACTCGTGTGACTTCAAAATACGAACGAACGTTGTGTTTTATATGGAACTCTTTTTTGAAACAAAAGTGTGAACTTTGCTTTAGTTGAAAGCATAAAAGAGTTCTAAAAGCCAAAACGATACTTGGATGTGATGTTTCAAAAGAAGATAATGTAAACTTGTTTTTTTTCAAGCGGTATTCTGGATGTTTTTTGAACCGCCGTATACGCGAGGTTCGATCGTGAACATTGGGATACAAAGTTTCCTCAAGAATTTGCAGTGTTTTCTCCACAATCTAGCAGCACTTATGACAATAAAGATGACTTAAATAATGAGCCTTCTACGGGTGAAATGAGCAGGGCAGAAACTCCAAACATACCGTTATAAAAACTGAAATTTGAACGGGCATTTTGCGAAAATATCCGACGATAGTACTCGCACGGGACGAATTTTGACAAACATTTTTCAAATTAATACCAAGAAGTCATAACCAGTAATTACCTAAATATCTTTGCCATTTTTACATGTATAATACACGCTTAGTTGACCATTAACCGACACAGTTATAAACAGTATATCAAACATAATTTATATTTTGTGATTTCAAAAAAGTCATGCCTTGTTGTTTTATGCAGAATGCATGTACACGTCAGTGGGGTATTAAATCGTTCGCGTAAAAATCTAGTAAAAATTGCCAAAATTAATCCCAAATTTCTCCGTTTTCCTTCGGTAAAATTTTTTAAAACTTTGCACATTTTTTAATATCGGTACAACAAGTGCAATATCCTTTTTTCTTAAAATTAAATCGAAGGGAAAATTTTTAATATTGATTTTTGACGTTTTTTAAATTTTCTAAGAAACGTATCGATTTAATTTTTTTAAATTGAGGGGAAAAATTCATTATAGAATTATTATCTTTTATGCAAAGTTTTAAAAAATTTCACCGAAGGAACTTTTTAAAATTACCTGAAAAAGACAAATTTTGAGCTTTATTCTAAGCATGCTATTGCCATGACAACATATTTTTAACACAAAAGTAGCAATTTGCAATGTTCAGGAGAACATTGTCAATGTGTCCAATAAATTTCGTCTTCATGTCATGTAAAGTAAAGAAACAAGAGTCTCCTGAATACTATAGTGCATAGGTCTCCCGAAAAGGTCTTTTATTTTAAAAAAAATCCATACAATTTACTTTAAAATGCAATGCTTTGACATGCAATGCTTCAATGTACAGTAAAACCTCTATAATTTGTATTACATGAAGTACGTGCAACATCACAAAATCATCATGTTGATGCAAGTTGTTCAAAACAGGAGCGAACAATGTTGTGCTGCACCCCGTGAACAATATTGTTAACAAGTTGTTGAACCATCAACATTGTTGCAACTTGTTGACAATCATGTTAACAACTTGCAACAGCACTGATGGTTGAACAACTTGTTAACAATATTGTTCACGGGGTGCAGCACAACATTGTTCGCTACTGTTTGAACAACGCCGAACAACCTGATCAATTTTTACCCGTGTATATATCCCCAAGGTTGGCAAGTAAATACAAATATAAAACTGTATACACAAACTTAATGACGAAAAACTCGTACATAAACATCGAAATTCATTAAAAAAACTAACTCACTATGGTAAGAAATAACTGTAATACTTCTACATTGTGTTTTTTTCTTCTTTCATCACTTTTAAACGAGTTAATTTTGCGAAAATTCCGAGGAAAATGGCTCAATTTGGTCAAAACTATGCGGGATGACTGCTCCCGGCGTTACGTCACAAAATAAAGCTCTCTGATTTGCTGAAAATGTTTAAAATTTCAAAAAAACTCCGATTGGCTGGCTGAAATTTCCCAGCGAATCAGAGAGCTTTATTTTGTGACGTAACGCCGGGAGCCATCATCCCGCATAGTTTTGATCAAATTGAGTTACGAATTTGATGAATTTCCCTCGGAATTTTCGCAAAATTAACTCGTTTAAAAGTGAAAAAACACAATATAGAAGTATTACAGTTATTTCTTACCATAGTGAGTTAGTTTTTTTAATGAATTTCGATGTTTATGTACGAGTTTTTCCGACACGGCTGAAATCTCGTACACTCGACTCAGAAATCAACTGAAATCAAACCCGAAATCAAGAAATCACGAGAGAAATTAGTCAATTTCGAAATCAGAAATCACTAAAACTTCGTTATTATTGAGCCCACAGTCTTACATGACAGCGGTAACTCACAGAAATCAGGAAATCGGGTTAGAAATCAGGAAATCGGGTTAGAAATCACGTTAGAAATCAAGAAATCGCATTATAAATCAACAGAAATCCGTTTAGAAATCAACAGAAATCAGATTAGAAATCAAGAAATCAGGTTCGAAATCGCGTGATTTCGAAATCTCGTACGCTTCATGTGGCCGTGTCGGACCCCTCGTATTTACTTGCCAACCTTGGGGATATATATTACATAATGACACAACCACAGAATAGGAAGTTATACCAGAAGCGTAACTCTAGTCGTTTCCCTTATTGTTTGACGTCCACGAAAATTTTAACTCGCTCACGTCAGGCCACGCCATCCTGGCTAGTACAGCCGGAAGTTTTTATCAGGATTTGGTAGGTACAAAGTGCCGGTTGTACTAGCCAGGATGGCGTGATCAGTGAACTCTAATAATAACTGGAAGGCTAAGTCAGGGGGGGGGGAAGTTGAAGCCGTGCCTGAAGCTTTTTTTGTAGGTAGACCCAGTCCTTTTTACATTTTTTTTTCAAAATATGCACATTTTTCGATCAGAAAAATCTTGCCCCAAAATATTAGTTATACTACCAAATTTAATTTATATCAGTAGTACTATAAATGAATTTAATATTCGCAAAGCAAACAAATCACGTATTAGCAAAAAAATACGAAAAAACACGGCCATAAGGATGGACGGTCAGAAAAACCGCGCGTTTTAGGCTGCTTTTTCTGAGTTTTTGGAAGTTTAAGATAAAACTAAGACGTCATACCTCAGGAATTTTTTATACCCATGCAAAATACATCTGTATGCGAAGTTTCAAGAAAATTGAACGTTTTAAGGTCGAAAAAAAAGCATTTGAAAATTGACAAAAATATTGCCATATTCAAAGTGCTCATAGTGGCCAACAAGATGCCGATGACGAAAATAACATCACTTGAAAAACGCCAATTTATTTATGTTTAAGAGCGACTAAAACAAGGACTAAAAGCTCAGGATCAATAACAATACCTGGGGTTTAGTACAACATAAGTTTTGGGAATGTCAAAATGTTTTATAGTATATATTTTTGAGTTGAACGGCGAGATTTCCTTCGGCACATCCAAACTTTCGTCATTTTTTCAAAATACAAAAGCAAAATTCCTTACTTTTTGCTGCAGAGAGATGTAAAACAGTCGGAACTAATCGGAAACTTGGTTTAAATCCCAAGTCATTGTTGTATTCCCATGGGAAAAGTGTTTTTCTTACAAATTTTTGCTCGAAAACAAACTTTTGACAGAATTTTTTTCACTCCTCGAAACTCTCCTTAGTCCTTTTGAAAGCTGATTTTCCCGCGCGCCGGCTTCAACGAATCATAGACTTTCATCATAGGAGTTAGCCTTCCAGTTATTATTAGAGTTCACTGGGCGTGATTGATGACGAATCGCTTGTAAAAACCACTGAGCTATACTTAATATATCTGGAGAGAGTGTATCTAAAAGTCGAGGGTCGAGAGTCGAGAGTAAAAGTCGAGAGTCGAGAGTAAAAAGTCGAGAGTCGAGAGTAAAAAGTCGAGAGTCGACAGCAA